TGTAAATCAGTGGGAACTCTAGGGCCTGCAAAAACACAAGGTTTGAAATTATCTAGTGAGTGGTGTGAAGGTAGGGTCAAGGAATATGCTGAAACAAAAGAGAAGAAACAACAGTTAACTAGGAAGAAACTGTCTTGTCATAAACTATCGGCAGCTCATGTTAAAGCTAGTGACATTTTATGCCTTGCTAAAAAAGAAACAATTGAATGTCTGAATGTTAAAACACAAGAAAAACAATACGTTACAACTTGTCGCATATTTAGGACAGCTTATCAAATAGCGAAATTGAACAGTCCCATGACAGATTTAACACCTTTGATTGATTTACAAGAACTAAATGGTTTAGCTATGGGGCGTATCTTGCAGTCTAATCATGCGTGCACTGATATTTGTGATCGTATAGCAGATGAAATGAGAAAGAAACTTGTTAAATATATTATTGATAACAATCTCAAGATAGGTTTCATGATCAATGAGACTTCTACTCGAAGTAAAAAAGAAGCTCTTGTAATCTATTTACGTTGCAAACTGCCTGAATCCATGGATGCGAGTAGTTATCTTTCTGATAGAGTGGAATTAGAAAATACTCCAGCTGCAACGATCTGGGACGCCTTTCTCAACAATATCAAGAGTAACGGATTTCACAGTGACTTTTTATCACGAAATTGAATTTCATTTGCTTGTTATGGGGCCTCTAATTTACTTGGAAGGCATGCAGGTGTTGCACAACTTTTGCTCCGAATGTATCCTCAATTGATTGTTTGGCATTGTAGTAATCATCGATTAGAAATAGCGGTGAATGATACAGTACGGGAAATGTCAACGGTGTGCCACATGCAATCATTTTTTGATAAACTCTATTCCGTTTACAGCGCGTCTCCAAAGAACTAATCTGAATTAGAAGCTGTTGCTGCACAACTGAGTATGAGGTTAAATACCATAGGACGAGTGTTAGGAACGATACGTTGGGTATCGTCTAGTGCGCGGTATGTGAGAGCCATATGGAATAATTACCCTGCTCTTTATAAGCATTTTCACAATGCGTCTGTAGACCAAAAACGCACGGGAAGGGAGAGAGCTCAATATTCTGGATTGTAAAGAAAACTAAGCGACGTAAACTTTGTTCTAAATATGGGACTTCTGTTCGATGCTTTAACAGAACTTGAACATCTGTCTTTAAAATTACAAGAAAAAAGAATCACATTGCCTGAAGCACATCGTTTAGTTCTTGTTAAGTATCACGTCTTTCAGTCCATGGCAAATAATCCAGGTGAATATTATTCTGATGTTCTAACGGCAGCTGATAAATTAGAATGTAAAGGAGTTAGCTTAGAACATGGAAAAGTGCAGAAGATTAGTGAACAACAATTCTTTCAGAAATTAAGTGACAATATAAACACCCGAATGTTCACCACTAGAGCTTTACACGAATCGACTGGAAGTAGTAACACAACATGGTCAAACTGGGACAAATACAGTCAGTTTCTGGACAACTTGAAAATAATGGATAAGGCTAAGTGGGTAAAATGTCAAGATCCATGTTTTACTGACAAAGAGATTAGGGAACTCGCTGAGTCATTTATGGTGTGTAAGAAAACTTCAGTTCATGGATTCCATGAATATTACATGAATATAATGAATGGTGACGACATGTATCCTGATGAAATAAAGCCGTTGATTGCAGCTGCAAATACTATTATTATTTCAACTGCAGAGTGTGAGCTTGCATTCAGCAACACGAACAACATTATTTCAACCATTCGAAGCACGAAGCTTTTAAAAAGAGCATCTAGTTTAATGTTTATTTCATCAGTGGGACCCCCTCTTAGTGCTTTCGATGCAGAATATTATGTAAAACAATGGCTAAAGAAAGGACGTCGACATGCAGATTACCAGTCTTGTGCAGCCCCCGCAGATAGAAGATCAGTGACTTCAGAAAGCACCGAAAACATCTGGAAAATATTCTAAAGATAAGTACTCTTAATGCATGTGTGACTTTATTTTAACGAATGCCATTTAAACTACTGTAATATGTTCGTAGGTCTTAGATGGAACACAGACTATATACATCACTCGGTATATTTTCATAATTTATGTCTATGAATTAAAAGGGGAAAACCATCCCGGTTCTATTTTCATTCCACCTCAAGCGCTGTCTAAACCATTATACTTGTATATGCATACATTCGCACAAGGAAAATTTCTAACTTTCGGTCTAAAACGAAAGCTTGATTTCGTTGAATCACAAGGTGTGTAATATATATCACAAAAAACAACACGAAAATTATATAGATACACACTAAGGAACAAGTAAAGACATGAAACAAGTATTATGTTTTTGGACATTATCCATCGTCTTGTCTAATTTCTATGGACGGTCCTGTTTCTGTCCGGGGACAGAATCCAGTCTCCGAAACGTGTTTATAAAAAGAAACAGGACGGTTTTTAGAAATTAGACAAGACAATGGATAATGTCCAAAATCATAATACTTGCAGAAATAGACCATCGTCACACACTTTTAGATCTTATTAAAGACATGAAGTTAACACCTCGTAAACTAATAAAGCAGTTGCAAATATAATTACATTACGCAGTGATTTTTTAATTTTATATATATACACTTCCTTCTGCGTTAATAATACTTTGTTCAATAAAACTGTTCTTCCAAAATAATTATGTGTTATATTGGATGACGTGTGGATGTACTGATAATTCTCTAACAGGAATTAGCAGAATCCTGTGTAGTCGAGCACAGCCTGCTGGAAAGTCTGAGTCGATCTTAGGGCGGGTACACCACACTAGCGAGCTGTTGCATGTAACGTAACGGTTACTGTAACCACATTCTGTTAGTGGGGACGCCTTCCGAACCACGCTCGTGCTCGCGAACGTACTTCGAGCGCGCTCTGTAACACGACCGGCGAGCCACTGCCTTGTCGGTTTTTTCTGAGAACACAAAGGGACTCGCAGTAGGCTTGTGGACGCCACAATCTCTTGCTCGTAAATATGTACGTTTCCACAGAGCCAAGAGCAGCGTTGCGAATCGCTATGAAGTAGGACGATGAGAAATGCCTGAATTTAATTGAAATCTACAGGAACAAACCGTTACTTTGGGACCCAAAAAGATAGAAATTATTATAAGAAACACCTGAAAGACGATGCATGGGCTGAAATTGGTGTTGCTATGCATGCGACGGGTTCCGACTGCAAGCAGAAAATGGTGAATTTGCTCGCATCATTTAGGCGGGAGAATATGAAAACGAAGAAATGTATGGGAACTGGAAGAGGTAAGTGTATTGTGTTTATATAAAACTCTATACAGTTCAAAGAATTATGTATGACAACGAGTTTGTACTCACGTATACATACAGTTTCTACTGTGTACGCATGTAGCACAGAAAATACAACGCTGTTCACAGCATTCCTGCTCACGTTCCTTTCTTTTTCTTTCTGTGCAGGGAGGGACGAATTGTACGGAAGTAAATGGTTCGCGTACAACGCCTTGGAATTTTTTTGGGGATCGTGATAAGCCCCGGAAAGGACTATCCACTGAGAGTGTTGTAAGCAGCTTTCTACGCATAGCGATCTTGCCATGGTAGTTTGCCTTCCTCCATGAAGTAGTCCGCTAATTACCGTCGTATTTTTTGAACGAGAGCTGCAGACCGCCGTGAGATCGATGGCAGTGGTAGGCATGATGTCATAGGTTGATCGTTTCTCCAGGTTCCAGGGATTAACTCCCCACCATCGTTGTTTTCGGTATACATAGACCCAGGTGGAGCATAAAGTGAATGTGAAGAACTGCGCCTTAAAAATTATTATGAATCTGCACCTTCCACAAGTACCGGTACTACTAACTGTTACCCACAGACACATGCCCCATCACCGTGCTCATCGTTTGGAAATGCAACCCGGTCGCCATCAGTTCACCGTGACAGCTCACCACACGTGAATCAATCCCTACGTGACAGTCTGTCCCCTACGAGCGACACAAAGTGACATGTACTCCGAGTGGGATATTACCAAACTGCTTTGACATGATTTGATTCTTTTGTGTAAACAACATGTACGGATAATAAATGACACAATAAAGACAACTGATACATAACTTTATGTGTTCTTTTAATCCATCGATGATGGCTCCACATACGCCTGCAACAATAGAGCTAATACTTTGCTTCGATATACGGAATAGATACTGTAAACTTGTAAAAGAGTCCCCAGTCGCCAAGTATCTCAATGTCACAGGTAATCGATCTTGCACCGAAATCGCCTCTCTGAACTTAAGTGTTCCTCTTCCGGATCCTAGGTCCAACCAGATTAATCAAATATTCGAAGTCCGTTGGATTCAGCCTTTAAAGGCGAGTACACACTAGCGAGCTGTTGCATGTAACGTAACGGTTACTGTAACGACGTCTTTGTATGGATGACACGTCCATAGTCGTCATGTAACCAGCTGCGAGCCACCCGATCCATACTGCTCGTGGTGAGCTCGCCATGAAGACATGTCTTCCTCCTTATCGCCTGAGTTAATTGCTATTGCGTCGTATATCCTGATACACCACTTAACTGCCGACGATAAACGCCCACGAAAATTCTGGCAGCATGCACTATACAAAGAAAGAAGCGTTCCTGCTTTACTTTTGGATTTGAAATCGCAAACAATTAGTGGGCATTACAAAAATTTCACCCGCCTGAATCTAAGCTCTGCTTTCCGCCTGCTTTATGTTGGTTTCTTGCTTGCCTTTGCTCTCTGAAGACGGAAGAGGCATGTTCGTCCGAAACGTCTGTTCACTTTCAACGGACCATACGGGGTTATATCCCAGATGATAGTACTCTGCATAGCCACCTCTGTAAGAACCTCAAATCCTAAAAAGGTAAGCATAGTTTCACAGCATGTTTGGAACAACATCCATGCCAGCAAACACAACTACACAAACAATCCCACACTACTGTTATGGATCTTCTCTTACGGTTCAAAAATCTGATCACACTGGAACGGTAATTCGCTTATGGCTGGTACTCGGTATATTTACATGTCACAACAATCACTACAAGATAACCTGCCGGCAGCATGCAAGAACCACACATTTCAGACATACTCTACGTCTAGCAGGACGTGAAACAACTGCCAAACAGCACGGCCGAACGATCAGTGGCGATCAGTTGTACGAACTTCACCGAACAGTCACTACCGCCACTACAAGCTCAACGCTCTCTCTCGGTCAGCTCTACGCGCGTACGTAGCGCTCTGTGTGGCCGAGCCTTTACTCATCCTACTCATCTTGCTCTAATCCGTGATACTGTTGGACGGTATTGGACCGTATTGGACTGTAACACGATAGATAGCATTGTTGTAAATAGGATGCATTAATTTCGTAATAGTTTCTTACGCGTCAGCACGTATAACACGTCGATGTAATAAATACACGTATATATTATAATTAAGAGTTCTCTGTGTTTATGAGAAATCAGCTACGTGTATGGTAGGTGTGAACGTGGTGGACTCATCATTACGTTGTCTGCTCATTTGACAGACGAAGTGACTGATCCGATTTAACAGTACCCATACTTTGAGTACAGTTAAGAATTTGTTGATAATTCTCCATATATTTAATAACCTTTGAGGATTTATATTGTGTTATGTACATTTGTTTACAGTTCTGCAGTAAATTGCATACTTATTACAGGTTTCAAGGTTATGACAGCAACACAGCAGTCAGGATTTGTGATAGCAGAGGTACATATTTTAGACAATGGCACAACGAACTGTTACCTGCAAGGCAAGTGTACCACTCTTCCATTTATTCTCTTCATTATGTTTCACATTCAGTTATTTAATATGTATCAAAAGCAGTTGTTACTACCAGCCTTTCAGGGTTTACCCATTTTTCTTTTTTTTTTGCTTAATATTGCCATTATTAAGAGTACTTTTTAATATTAAATTTGGTGTTGCCGAATGTTCTGCATTATTATGTTTTTACTTGTTATTGTCGTGTTTAGAGATATTGCATTCTTTCAAAATATATGTCTTTAGAGACAGTCAGGATTCAAAATAAAGACAGATTCATTTAATTGATAGGAATATTTGATTTCTGCCACTGCAACATGAAGCCGGAGCCTCATTAGCTTTGCCAGTGATGGAAGTATCATTGAATGATTGCAACAAATGTTTATGGATGGGTGTTTTGATTTGACTAATGATACCTGCAACCATGTAAATACATGTGGGGATAGAAAATCACTGGCATCTTCATCAAAAGTTTGGTGTGTGGGAACTGCCCACATTCAGGCAAGTGTGACAACGCAAGCGTCATTGCTTAGCAACCGCTGTTTACTCGTTGCTAAGCAATGACGCTTGCATTGTCACGCTGTATCTTACTGTCTTAGATGATTTACACCATTCATAGGAATTTTATGTGCATATTATGTATATTTATAAAAACATGAATTCAGGCATATGAGATGTAAACACGACTGACAGACTGTTGTCCATTAAATTTCCGTATCACTCAAGAATATTTTGCTTTTGAGATTGCCCCAGGGTCGTCTGCATGTTTTAAGTCTGGTGACAGGATAACTACAGTCGCTTTTCAGCTTATTTGTACTTGTACTAAGGAATGTAGGAGGAATGAAATGCTATTATATGCCTCAAACCACTATGCTCCTGTATTTTAATGATAATACAATATTCCCTTCCCAATAGTAATGTTACCAGCCAGATTTTAAGTAGCCATGATTTTGCATTTGTATCCAGTTTCACCAAATATTGCATTTCATTTTATATACTCATAGTTTTCAACCTCTATACATTTTTTTTGCACCAAGAGATCTACTGTATTTGCATCCAAACCCAGTTACCTAGCTTCCAGATTGCTACTGCATATGTTCTTTGTGACATACTTTCAGATTCACATTCTGTATTTATTTTTACATGACTTTATATGTGTCATGAAAGAATAGATAGCTTCTGTAAGACCTGAGGTCTTCACGGCAGACTATGAAGAATGCCGTCTTCTGGGATGTGGCACCAAGTAGATGTACACTCGCAAGGTCTAAGTAGTGTGTGAAATTGAAACAAACTGTCACATTGTTGTACATTAGAAATCATAGATAACATTTTAATTATATTTCTCAGAATCACACAAGATATGTTGTATGCCTTTTATTTATTTTTAATTTGTTTTGTTATAGGAATGTGGCTGGAGGTGCAAGAATTGCGCAGATCAAACAAATTTGCATCTTCATGTAGAGATTGAGAATCTTAAGCAGCGTCTGTTGGAGCGTGAACATCACATTGTTAATATGGAAACAAATTTTCTCACTGAAGCAGAAAAATTCCCAAATGGAAGATTTGCAGCACTCACTGAAGAATTGTTAACTTGGCAGGAAAAATATTCAAGGTATTAAAAGTTAAATAAAGCGTCTGATCTCATCTAGTTCAATATAAAACTAAGTATGTACACATTATGAACCTTCTTTACACACTGTATTAACATCTTCACCTCAGTTTGCATTCTTGTACACGTTTGGCCTCTAGAATGGGGGTTTCAGAATAATATACAGGGGGTGAACAAAATAATGGAAGCACTGAGAAATGGAGGAATAGAATTCGTGTTGACTAAATCAAAAGAATTTTGGTTATCAAAACTGAATATTCTTCCATTTCACACTCTGTAGTGCTCATGTCAGTTAATTACTGATAGTGTTGAGTGCCAGTCCATGTGAAAAAATCACAAAATGGGAGACTTGTCCGATTTAAAGAGGACAGATCGGTGGTGCACATTTAGCCGGAGCAGAAACCACCACATTGTTGAGTGTATTGAGAATGACAGTTTCTAAGGTTATGTCAGCATAAATGAATCATGGGAAGTCAACATCAATGAAGAGGAACGGTGGGCAAAAATCACCATGACAGAAAGAGATCATTGCACATTGAGGAAGATTGGTTTGAAAAATCACAGAACTACTGCTGCACAGGTGACAGCAGAATTGGATATTCATCTTGAAGATCCAATTTCAACAAAAATTGCCCAATTCACAAATCCAATGTCCATGGTAGGGCTGCAATTGCTACACCTTTGATTACACAGGTCTGCAAAAATAATTTTTTTTTCAGCTGCATGGAATATTTTTTGTAAACTTTATGTTTTCTAGGATGCTGAATCCAAAAAAACCTCAATTTCCCACTATCACGTATGGTTTTTTGGAGAATTATAGGGGTTTACAATAAAAAATCATAACCGATGAAAAAAATCACTAATTTTATTACATTGAACTAAACATATTATTTCTCATAATTAAACAAGAAATTCCTTCACGATATATTTAACATTCTGTGTTCAGTCTTTTTGCCTGTGAAACCTTTTCATCTTCTCCATGATGCTCCTCCGAACACGCTTTCGCTTTCCATTTTCCTTTTCCTGCTTGATCATCCAGCAGTAGTCAGCTAGCATATTCGCATTCCATCTTCCTTGGTAGCGTCTTTCGATATCACGGACAGCCTGATGAAATCGTTCACCCTGCTCTTCACTATAGGCTCCCCAGTTTTCGGGAAAAGAGTCGACATGGGAGTGTAAGAAATTAACTTTTAAGCTCATCTTGCAGCCTTGAGCTTTATATGCAGCCAACAGGCGTTGTACATTGGTTTTGTAGAGAAGGTCTTTTAGTGTTCCCCAAAAACTTGTGCACTACATCTTTGAAGGAGTCCCATGCTTCTTTTTCTTTTTCTCCCATTTCCCTCTTCGGAGAAAAACTGAGTGAATTCCTACTCTCGGTGCCTGTACCACGAGAATGATGTTCCAGGTGAGAGCAAGTTTTTATTTTTTAGTCTTGACCCTAGCAATTCGGCTGCATCTTTGGAAAGGCCTAAATCTCTAACTAAGTCATTGAGCTCACTCTGAGAAAAAGGTTGGGGTCCCTCAACAGAAAAATCTGAGCTGGTTTCATCCTGGGGTGGTAATATAGTTCTGTCCTCCGAATCACTCTGTATATCATCCAAACTGGAAGGTGGGAGGGGAACTGGTATTTCAGAGCTATGAGGCACTGGACGAATAGCTGAATTAAGGTTTGGGTAAGATATTTTCTTTTATTTTTTGTATTAAAGCCTTTCACATCTACCGAACAGAAATAACAGTCAGTCGTGTGGTTTTGCTGTTCATGCCACATCATAGGAGTGCCAAAACGAAATGAGTTTTTCTTACCCTTAAACCACAAATGAAGATACTTCCTCGCACCTTCTGCACACCTTGTGAGGAGCCCAAGGTTTGTCTTGATCCCAAGTTTCAATTTGAAATAAGCAAAATACACTTGCTTCACAAAATCACTTATGTCTCTTTGTTGACTTTTAACTGTGTATTCACCACAAATAAAACAAAAGTTGTCCGGAGAAATAACACAACTTCTCTGAGCCATAAGACAGAGCTAAAACACAAGCACAGTCACGTTTGAATGCAGGATGTAAACTGAGTGGCTTATACATCAGCCAAGATCCTGAACTTATTTAGCATGTTGAGACATGATCAAATCTGACAGCAGGCTTGTTTATACTCATTCCTATTGCCCCAAAGAACATGTCCAAACATGCTCAACTGAGCTAGTAAGATTCCTCACCTTTCGCTACAAACAAAGTAAATGTGTTGGGACATGATTGCCTGAGCTCCTCACACCGCCAAACCCACCCTACCAACCCCTTCCACTGCCCCCCCCCATCCGACCCATTTTCTATTTGTATTATTTTTTAGATTCACTCTTATAAATATTATTTTAAAGTAAGAAATAATTATTGGATATGGTTTTTAGAATGAACAATAGGATACCAGATTTTATGTTGATGAGAAATTTCACGCAAAATTAAATTAAAAATATGCGTTTTACAAAAGAATTGACATGATGGATTTTTTTTTTTACTATTATTTCCGGTTTTAGTGAGTAAAAATCTATAAGAAACAGTAAAAATATCCTATGCAGTTTTTTGGTTGCAGACCTTTGTTATTGAAAGTAATGCTCAGATATGTACACAGTGGTGTCATGACCATAAAACCTGGACAGCAGACAACTGGAAATGAGTGCATGATATGGTCACATGAGTCGTCCTTCACATTGTTCCCTACATCAGGAAGAGTTTATATTTGGAGAACACTCAAGGAAGCCTACAATCTGGAATGCCCGGTTCCAACAGTGAAGCACAGGAGGGGTTCTGTGATGGTTTCAGTAGCAGTATAGTTTTAAAGTATTCTGTTGGTCCCATTATTGCCCTTCATGCCCGAATTACTGCAAGGAAGAGCATGGACAGGTTGGATATTCAGATGCATCCCATGATCCAGATATTTCCAAAAAACAATGCAGTTTTCCAAGATGACACAGCTCGAACTCTATGGTCGTGGTTTGAAGAGCATGCAGCTGAACTTCAACATCTTTTGTGGCCAGCACAGTCACCAGATCTGAACATCACTGAACCACTCTGATCAGTTTTAGAGACTAGAGTGAGGAACAGACTCCCTCTTCCACCATCTCCAAAGTGACTTGAAGATGTTTGTCAAGAAGAATCATAAAAAGTTCTGCTAGAGTGTGTTCAAAACTTGTTTGAGTCCATTTCAAGAAGGACTGTGGCTGTATTGAAGGTAAAAGATGGTCCAACACCGTCTTATTAAAGAAATGTGTGCAGTATCTCCAGTGTATCCATTATTTGGTCCAACCCCTGTATGTAATAATATACTTGAAAAGTATGGTCTTCTGGTTTGTAATGCTGTGCATCTCAGAGAGACCCTTATATTTCAGAGGAACATATTGCCAAGCTTGCTGCCTCATTGCTGGTTTCATGCTCGACTTTCTGTGTGACTGTAAAGATGGAGGCAGTATATTCCTGTGAAATGTATGGTTTTACAACCCAAGTGACCATACATATCACAGTCATCGATGTGAGAACCTTAAAACCAACAACAGTATACTTTGTTTCAGGCTGTATGAGTCGCACAAACGTGTACAAAAGGTGAATCAGAATCTCGAGGACAAGCTTTTGAAAATCGTCGATAAGTGTGAAACGGAGAAGAATTCTCTAACACGAGATGTGACAAGCTTGACTCAGAAACTTGTTGAGGCCAGGGGAAAGATTCATCGTCTCCAAGATGAGAATGTGCGTGCCACTGTGAATGATTACTGACTGTTATGACACTTGTGGAACAAATCTCTGACATTTGTTTTGTTTGTTTTGCAGGAACGGTACCGAAATGATGTGAATCTTGCTATTCAGCTTTTACAGTGCAAGCCTGCTAACTTTGTTTCTCATAAATTTGATATGGTAAATATTAATGTTCTGTTCAGTTAGTTGCACCCTCTTCTTTGTTTACCTTTAATGGACCAAATTTATTATCTTAATTTGTAAGTCTTAGGGCAGATGTCTGCTACAGATTATAGACTAACTGTCTGGAGTGGAGTCCTCCTTGAGAAGTTATAGTCACCTGCACACAGTGATTTCTGTGGTACCTTATGAAACCTATGGGTTCATTGTGTGGTACTTGGTTTTTAAGCAGATGTCCAGTACCATGCACTTCCAGTTTTAAGATAAGTTCTACCAGCAAAAAGAGGGTATGGCAATGGGAAACTCTCTATCTCTGGTGGTCAGTAATTTTTTCATGGAGCATTTTGAAGAAATGGCATTGGACATAGCTGACTACAAACCTGCTAAATGGCTAAGATACGTCGATGTCACATTTGTGATATGGCCACATGGACCAGAAAAGTTACAGGAATTTCTTCAACATATCAACAGCATCAGGCCTACCATCAAATTCACTATGGAAGTTGAAGCTAATAATGCCCTTCTGTTCTTGGACATTCTGGTTATGAAGCAGGGGGCCGAACTCATCACAAAAGTGTACCGAAAGCCTACTCATACTGATCGTTATCTTCACTTCAGGTCCAACCACCCGCATCACGTAAAAAGGGGAATCGTTCATATTTTCGTCAACCGAACAAAGGTCATATGTCAAAAACAAAAGGATTTTAGCAACGAAATTAGAAACAGAAGATATGATCTCATGCTCAGTGGATATCCAAAAGAATTCATTGACTCTGTAATGAAGCCATCAGCAAGAAATCGTCTCTCAGAGTATACCAGGGCATTGTAGTAATCCCACATGTCAAGGGCACCTCCGAGAAATTCAGACGCATCGGGAACTGTTTCCATCTCATCTGTTTCCATCTTTAAAACTAAACATGCACTCCGTGGGACATTGATGAAAACTGAACCTGTTAGAGATGCCCAGCAGGCAAAGCAGTGTGTGTATAACATCCTGTGTGACTCTGGCACATGTTACATCGGTGAAACGAGCAGACCCTTAAAAGTACGTATTAAGGAACACAAATATAACCTGACACGGGGTTTGCTGGAAAAATCAAAATTAGCCCAACATGCATACAAGGAAGGCCACAAAGTTTGTTGGAATGAAGCGAAGGCTTTGTAGATTGAGCCCAGCACCACATACAGGAAATACAAGGAATCAGCCCCCATGTCTCTGCTGGACCAGCTGATCAGTCATTCCAGTGTGGATTGTGGATTTCTCTCCCATCTGGACCCCCGTCATCACAGCAGAAGTCAAAGAGAGTACAATGCCATCAAGTGTAGCTGAAGTGGGGGGGGGGATTTTTTTTTTCTATCCCCCCCCCTCATGTTGGTACCGTAAGTATTGCTTCTCTCCAGCAATGATTTCATTCGAGATAATTCTCACACCTCATGTGTGGAGTTTCAATAATTGAATATTTTCTTAGCTCTTGCAGATGGTTTGTGTTGTGTTTGATTTATGTACCCCTTCTTGAAGCTCGCATAAGTGTCTGGAGATATGGACTAGCTCTGTCTGTTGGGACTGACTGAGTAGGTTTTATCTGAGGAGGGAGACAGAATCCAGTCTCAAAAACATTGTGTTTTGAAAAATAAGCAGGGCGGTTTTAAATATACATAGGTTGGATAAAAAGTAGTGGCAAAACCTCTATAGTTCTGAAATTACTTTATTACCTGAGGTAAACACACTTACATTCCTTCAATATAATCGCCCCCCCCCATGTGTACCACCACCTTCCAAATTTGTGGAAGGCGTCGTACACCATCAGCGTGTCCACTTCTGCTGATGTCCAGCAGTGACCGCCCTACAGCATGAATAATCTCCTCTCATATGTTGTAAAATGTCCTTCTCAGTGGTTCTGTCATTTTGGCAAAGAGATCATAATCACATGGACTCATATCGGGTGAGTATGGCAAATGTTGCAGTATCTCCCATCGCCAGCGGCGAAGGAGATCCTTGACAGTGTCAGAAGTATGAGCCCTTGCATTGTCATGAAGGATGATGGGGCTCATTGCCAACAAGTGTCGTCGCTTTCTCCTGAGTGCTGGACGAAGATGATTATGCAGGAAACTGCAGTAGTAGGTAGCGTTTACTGTCTGTGAGGTACAGTGTGATGCAGTATCACTCCATCAGTGTCATATGCCACAATGAACATCGCCTTCACATTACTCTGTGTAGGGCTCACTTTCATTGGACGAGGAGAGCCAGGATGTTTCCATTCATTTGATTGTTGCTTCAAGTGCGGTTCATATGGGCGAGCCCAAGTTTCATCCAGAGTGATGATCCTTCCAAGGAAGTCATCACCTTCCCTCTGGTACCAGTCCAACAAGTCCTGTGCAATTGCATAACATTGGCATTGTTGCACCTCGGACATTGTATGGGGTACCCAACGTGCTGCAGTTTTGTGGTATCCAAGAATATTTTGCAGAATGTGGAGCATGGTTTTGTGACATAGGCCTCAGCAACTAACTCCCACACAGCCCATTGATGATCGACATCCAGCAAAGAAGCAAGAAGCAGAATTGTGTGGTTGTCAACATGGAGTCTTCCCGAATAGCATTCCTGCCTTCATGGAACAATTTCACCCATCGTGCCACTGTGTGATATGGAAAAGCAGCATCACCACATGCTTCTCGCAGTCCCTGATAACAGTTTTGTGCAGTGTTGCCACTACTTTTTATCCAACCCTTGTAGACAAGATGATGGATAATGTCCAAAAACGTGATACTTGTAGCAATGGACCATAGTCACCAACTTTTGGATCTTATTAATTAAATAAGTTGTTTATGCCATGTTACAAAATGTGGAATTATGATTTAATTCCTAGTCATAGTATTTGTTGTCGTGACTGAAAAGTAAGGTCTGTTTGCATTTTTACAGAAAATGAAGCAGAGCTATGCAGGCAGGGTGCAGTAATTTTATTCAAGGGGTGAGGGTTAATGAACTGTATGTGTTGCAGCTGCCAGCAGATTTGCAACAGAAAGTGCGAACGTATGTGAGCAGTAAGCGAAGGCAGTCTGATGGAAATAGTGGAAACAACACTGTTGGCAAACCAGAACCAAAAATTATCAAAGTACCTATTCCAACATTTCCACCTACTGCAATGGTATACTCCATCAATAAGGTTCCAGCAGGTGAATTCAGTAATTCCTCTTTCTTATGGATATCTTTTTCATCCTTTCCTCCTTGCTTTTGCCTTTTTTTTTTTTCATTCCAGTACTCATTTTAATGAACTATGAAGGATTTTTAATTTTAGTATTAAGCAGGTGCTTCCAGTTGTTCACTGTCCTCTGAGCTGATCATCACCCCCATCTTTGTTATCGGTCATCAGGAAATAGAAACCTGCAGTAGACAATGTTTGATGTAAGCTAAAAGCCCAAGCAGCAGGGAATATACACAGATTAAAAAGTTCAGTAGACAGGGACACCAAAGACTCATATAAAAAGAAAGTTTTGGCTTATGAAGAGATGTAAGGCACTGCAGTTGCATAGGAGAGGCTTCCAACAGAACAGCACATATGGAGAAGCTGTTTTAGTTGATGTGTAGCCTTCTCTGTTACAGATGTTTCACTTGAAATGAGAGAATCAAATTTGTAACATTTCAGATAAAAATGAGGAATCTGATGAGAAGTCTTCCAGCTCAAAACCTCCTGTTGACATAGTATCAGCTGCTATTATGGCTAAAGTCCTGGAGGAGCGAGAACGTGAACGCCTTAACACAAAGCACTGTGACACTTGTACCTGCCCACGACAAGGTCTGGTTGATTGCTCCACGCAAGCAACACCAGTAACGGACCAAAGCATTCTGTGTGTGCGTTGTGCAGCCAGTGTAAGGTTGGTAGTAGTCATTCTACTTACTTACTTCTAATGATGCTTCCAAGCTTTTACGCAGCTTTCATGTCTGCCCAAAGAAATGTAGGAATAATGTTAGAAATGATGTTTCCTAGCATATCCTTTCAGATTAATCATTCATAACCAGATGACCGTATTTCATTTGGCATTACAAGATGACACAACATTTAACCAATAAACAAACATTTTTTACTTATGTAAGTGTGATTTCCTGTTGAAAAATCATGAAGTGATACACTCAGGCCCTGAATAACACAGTACATACATTCTTCAAAAGTTTGGTATAATGTGAAATAATGTAACGTAATGGAGAAGTCTTAGAGAAATCATGTTAAACCAAAACACAAGTTCTGTTAGTTGAAAACCAGTGCTGGATTAAAATCCTGTTAATCTGAATTTGTGTTGGTAGAACATTTCATCCATTCTGAATAAAATAAAAATCTGAAGTGTACTAAAAATTTCTTGTACAAGTTAGCAGCCTCCGTAGTCTAGGGGTAACGTTCCCACCTCGTGACTCAAGGTACACGGGTTCAAACCCGGCGGAGGTCGTGGAATTTTTAAGGGCGGAAAAATTCAGGGAACAAGTCCTCCGGGAGGGATTTTAAGCCGTGGCTCCCGTGTTGTAGCTTTACAGCACGTAAAAGGACCTCATGTCTCAAGGGGACCTCTGAGCCAAATTCAGGACATTTCCTGCCCAACAGTAGTCTCTAACGCCTCTGGTAGATGGGGGAAGCAATGAGATACCGCTGAGCCAGTAGAGGCTGAACTCGCTGGCTGAGTCGGGACTAATGGTACGCACCAGTACCGGTAGGGTATAGAGACTGGTAGAATATCACAGGGGGACGCACAATGGACCAATATTTGGTCTAAATGCATGGGAAACCCACCCTCTCCAATAACAACAACAAATTTCTTGTACAAGTTACATGCTTGAGTCAAATAGCTGTATTAGGGGTACCAATTTGAGATAATTCTTTGAAACGGCAGGAAAAATGTGCACCGGTTTAGAGGCCACAAGATGATGACAAAATAAGAACAGTATCGATAATGGCAAGTGACTGAACCACCAATTTGTGCTGTGAAAGACAACACTGAGACAGCGGCTTGACAAATAGTAACACTGATGACAAAACAGTGTCCAGGAAAGTCTTATATAATTAAAAACAGCTGTAATTTTTCTACAGAATGATCAAAAAGATCTGATATTAGTGTACTTTTCTTACATGTTAATACAGTATGGCAACATTCATGTATTCTAGTGCAGAGAATATTAGGCTTAAGATCCAGCAGTTGTGTCAGTTGGGTGTAAATTTAAGAGGAGTCGAGTGCACTAGCAGTGTGTAAATTCCAGTTTTACTGTGATGATGAGTGAGCCTGTAAGATTTTATTATATCTGTTTACTTTCCAGGTGTGATAGTGGTGTTGTAGACACTTCAAATAGGGCTAGTCAGGGACTTGTTCGATATGTTGACGTAGTTGCAACAAGGAATGGCGAGGTTGCTAATAGGAATATTACAAGTGGAGGTAACCAAAAAAGTGACAGCATATTTCTGTTGGGAACAGCCTCAAATGATCAAACCCCTTGTGTGAATATTTCCGAGAATACTGCCAAAGGTTTGAAACAAGAAATTTGTGATGAAAGTCAGAATAGAGACAGTGATAGCAAAATGCCTTCATCTTCAAGAAGGAGTGAAAGTAACAAAAATAGCAAAAGTTCAAATAAAAATTCTGAAAGTTGTAGGCAGATTGATAGTACCTGCACAAAGGGCATTATTAACAAGGAAACAACTTTAGTCTCAAAAAATGGTAAAAGTTTTGTTAGAAGTGTTGAGCTTCCCAAATCTAACAGTGACATTTCTAAACAAGATGCTGAAGGTATGGAGAGAGACTGCTGCCAGATTCCTTCTACAGATGGTGCTGAACTTCCCAGTAACAGAGGCACTAGAGAAATATATGGCAATGGTACATGTCATTTGAACAGAGTGAGTAAATTCCATATCAGGGGGAGTGAGACATATCCTGTAAGGATGAAGAATCAAGAAGGAAGAACATACTTGAGTGATGTGGCAAATGTTGAGAATAAGAGTGTTTCAGACGCAGCATGGGCTAAGCATTCCTCAGAGAAGCCGACAGTAGGTGCAGCCAGCAAAACTATCCTTAACAAGCCAAAGAATGCAGAGACAGTGGTCGGGCCACGCCATTGCTCACTACGATTGCAGGCAGGAAGCAGTAATATATTGCTTGACAATGCTACATCATATGCTCCTGTACTATACACTAGTCGCCATAATGGTGGAGGTGGGGATGTTTCGTCAACAGTGCTTGTCCACACTCCCCGTTCACGATCTGCCTCTGCCTCTAGCACTGACGAAGCCCATCACAGGGGAGACGGAAAATCATCGTCGTGTGTGCACAGCCCGACAGAAACTGAACTGTGAACATTCATTCACCTTAGATTGATAAGAACACCACGAAAGCTTCATAATAAAAGATACCAAAAATGTTCAAATAATAACCTGGGCTATTTACTGTCACTTTTTATCCTACTATCCAGTTACAGTTTGAGCTTGGAGTACAGTTTGAGCTTGGACTACAGTTTAAGAACCAGTGTTTAACCAGATACCTTCAGCATTATATAAATTACTTGAGTTTTTGAAAATGATTAGTTAACTAAAAATATATTTGCTTCCCTTGAATTGTGACTAAACTGAAAATTTTTGATTCTCTTAAACTAATGAAAAAACTGTAACATTCCTTTTTAATAAATTTCCCCGTCAGACATGAGTACTAAAAGTATCAAGTGAAGAGATACCTGCAATTTACAAGTCATGTGCTAGTATCTGGCTTCTGTTCACTAATTATATGTTAATACCCAGATATTTGAGTGGGGCCTGGCCGCTATTTAACATTTCTGTGCTTTTACTGAGACTGTGTTTGAGACTTGGCCACTATTTAAAATTCCTATACACGATCTAAAAGTTTGTGACAATGGTATATCAATATAATTATTGTGTTTTTTTTACATTATCCATCATCCTGTTTTTATTTAAAAAACAACATTTCAGAGACCAGATTCTGTCTCCCTATTCAGGTGAACTTCAGATATGTACCAGGTCTGTACTTGTTATATAAATAAATTCTAAAAATTGCTATGTGAGACCTGGCCACTATTTACAATTGCCATGCTAGTGTTTCGCTACTACTTACAGTTTATGAATTAGTATGCAGCTAGAATTCAGGCCCAGGTTGCTGTTTAAGTTTTGGTGTTTAATGAGATATCTAGGCTCTTCCATGGAACTTAAGGGTAACAGTATTCACTAAATTGGTTTTAAGATGTTAATATTTCCCACACAATAGACTGTGAAATAAGTTAAAATAAGAACCATTCAGTGACTGGAATGAGAATTATATATTTCAGATATTACACATAATCTGTATAATGTTATTTAGTGTGTTGTTGGTCTGATGCGCAGTTCCAAAGATTATGTATACATATATAATTTATAAATATAGAATTATAGTAATAATAACTTCCCAGCAATAAAAGCTGAGATATGATGAAGCAATCTTGATAGTACACTAATCAAGATCACACAGTAGAGACATGGGTCAGCTATAGATGCTCGGTATGTAGTTGCCAAGCTTTCTTCTAAGAAACTATTTCCGGCATGTAAAGCTGTTCCCAGCAACGAGACACGTAAGAATGAATCTCTAATACCTATGATCAAATATTGTGTAGTGAGCCACGCAAGAAACCAGCATTAAGCAAGCATGTTACTCCGAAATACTGCTCGACTTTTACGAGACTGAATGGGGTTATATCCTGGAAGGTAGAACTCTTCTTAGCTACTACTGTGAGAACCTCAAAATCCAACATTACTATATAATCTAGCTACTTGCAGTATTATAAAATACCCCCCTCCCCCCTGAAATAAAAGCTGCTATGTGTGGTGAGAAGAGGAAGGATAGAGCCACACCTGTTTCTTCACTTTTGGCCCTTGTTCTTATTGTGTTTTCTCTCAACTGAAATGTATATTCTTCTTTTCATTTTCACTCCTGTTTTTCAGTAAATGTCTATTTATAAAGGTACAGCAGTGTAAGGTCTGCTGATGGACACCCACATCTCTCAGTTGGCACAAAGGCAGCGGTTCCTAAGCTGCTTGGTAGGAACTTGTCATGTCAGTTTATGCTTAATATAACCATTTGTCACTGATACAAAATGTAATTCTTTCACTGTCACTGAAGAAAAATATATCAGGTCTCTGCTACCCAATATTTGATTCTTAGAATTTAAGTATTTAAACACTGCATTTGTCAACACAGAAATGTTTTATTCTAGTCACTGTTAAAGTCCATCTGCTGTATGAACAAGGGTATGTCATGCCTTGTCTAGGCAACCTTTTGGAAGAAAATCATCTGTAAGGATGTTTGAATCTCTTATTGGCATATTAATGCGAGAAGTACAGGAAGGATTTTAGTGTGTGGACAAGATCCAGTTCTGCGCTTCACAGTGGCCTGTGTGTGGCTTGCTGCATGGCACATACACATTTTTCTGATGAATCAGCCTTACGTTCAGAATGAAGTAGTTACAATTCACAGATCATGGGAGGTGTTGAAAATGCTGTCCTCTCTACATGTAGACATTTTTCACAGTTAATTATTTCATTAAAAGAACACTGGCACAACAATCCGTCTTGCACTTACAGCACACCAGACATCAAATTTCACTGGATGACTTGAGCAACTGTGTTGTCATTCTTAAACTAGACTTTGACACTCCACTCTCTTCAGCTACATATTTCAGTGATTTTTTAGGTGCATGTTGAAGTCGGGCCCTTATGGCATCTAACTTCTCAGTAAGCACTCGACACGTTTTTGTTTCTTGTCCATTAAGAGTGCCACTGTTCTAAGTTTATTCACCAAATTATGAATTCTTTGTCTGCTGGGAGCTCTTTCAATGCGAGATTTATGTTGAAATTACCTTCTAGTAATTCCATGTTTCACATGGTTGAAGTACAAAAATACACGTTGCTCTATGGTATACCATACCATGATGTAGTATAATTCACACTACACACAGACTGTAGATGAGAGCAAATGGCTAATGGAGCTGATAACTGCTGCCTACTGCTGACAAATCATAAACTCCCACACTGCTCGCCGTGTAACATAGGACCATCAATTGGTCCACAGGTTAATTATGTCCCTTCATTCCAAACGTTATTGGTGGTTAGGCATGCTGAGTCATGGGAAAAATTTGAATGCACCTCGCAGCAAGTGCCACACCGGCCACCGTGAAGAGCAGAGGCGTGGACCCGGTCCACACACTAAAAATCCTCTCTGTATACGGAAAATAGAATCTAATAACTTTCTAGGTCACTAACTGAAGGTGATGTACCCAGATTCTCACAGTGGATGAAATACATCCTACAGTCCCTTTTTTTTTTTACTTTATAATTTTGAAAAACAGAAAATTGCTACAGCACTCAGTATATTCAGAGGAATACTATTTTCAGAATTCACAGAGGCTTTCCTGCACTGTAAAAATATTTTGTTTATAAAAGTGAAAGTTGACGATTCATCTTGGTTTTACTTTGCATGGGCTATTTTGACAAAAGAAATATAAAAAAAAAAGACAGCGAAAAGTCTTTATGATTTTTACCAGATCATTACTCCCAGATTTCCTGTGATAACCCCAGAGCAAATATTTTTAATTTAACTGATGCCAAAATGTTATACAATTTTGCAACATGTTTCAGTGGAGAGGTTGTTTTCTGCCATAAAAGCAAATCTCCAGTACAAAATACGTGAAACATTTAAATGAATGTGTAGCTTCAGCTTTCAGGACTAGGTAGCATCAAGTTTTGAGAGGTTTCTAACATTTTAGTAAACTTTGCCATTGCTATCATCAAGGTTAATGTCCATGATTTATTTCAACCATCTTCCAGTGCATACACTCATCTATCTCCTCCTCTCACTCGCACTACATGTTTCGGCACAAAAGTGCCATCTTCAGGTGCTTATTCAATTTACGCTAAACTAGTTCATTGCATGCCTTGTCTTCATATTAAAATAACTAAAATATATATTTATCATATATATTGATAAATGTTAAATGTTAAAAATATTAANATGTCTTTGGAAGGGGATTTGGGAGCTCTCATGCTGGCAGCATGTTGAAGGTGAAGCCAAGAATGGCTGAACAGAGGAGCAGGATACTGATCAACAGGGAACACCTGTGTGGTTGGTGAAATGATGTAATAAAAGAAAAATGTTCTGGCAACCAGGTGGTCCTGAAATGAGCTAGGGAAAATCCTTCAGTGACCCTGTGTTCAGAACAAGTGGTGACAGAAAATTTTTTCTCTCTGATTTCTTCCTTCTCCTCCCTACAGAAATATGAAAGACAGTTCAGTGATTGCTGGATAAGTTTCATCTAACAGTCACAGAACTCTGGTTCATATCTGTGTGGGGACAAGATGAAACCATTATCCGGTAATCAATCAACACCCTCTCTTATTCAAATGGGGAGAAGGAAGGTAGAAAAGAATGGAGAATAATCTTCTGTCACCTCTTGTCCTAAACATGATTTGCTGAAAAACTTTCCTCACCACTTCTCAGGGCAATCTGGTTGCAGAACATTCTTCTTTGCCTCTTTTCATTAACCATGTGGTCGCTGAAACATTTTGCTTCCCTATTTTTACTAACCAAATGATTGTCTTCTATTGGTTAGCACTCTAGTCCTACATTCAGCCAATCATAACTTCATCTCTGACGCAATGCCTTTTATGGGAGCTGTGTCAGGTGCTGCCAAAGCCCCTCCCAAAATCATAACCTTGAAGATGGCAAATGCAAGATTTTCCAAAACAATGGTAAAACCTCAACATTTAACATGGCCTAACCCTTAAAACTGAAGCCACAAATATAAGCTTCAGCCACGAAAACTTAAGGACTAGTTTCATTTAATGTGTCTTTCAGTACTGTTTTTCTTCTGGTCTTAAAAATTGGGGCACATGTAATGACTGAACTCTACAATTCATAATTTGTATAATTCACAGAAAGATCTGGCAATGAACCGTAATGACTGAAGTATGAGAGCATTTACCAAATAAAAATCATGTGAAATGAAATTTGTAGAAAATATTTGCTTCTACACAAGGTACACCATATTTTCAGAAAATGAAAAAATGTAAGAATTTAATGAAGTGAACATCAGATTTTATATAGGCTTATGAATGTTTTTTATCATGTTAATAATGAGATGTACATGATTGTGTGCCATATTGGCATTTAGTTTTAGGATTGATATTGTTAGAAACAGTATTCTGAGTTCAACATTGTGTTTTTCCTAGGCTTTAAAGTTGAACATTTATAAGAAGTTGTCTCACTGTATTTTTACATAATATAATTTTTAAGCTGAAATAATAGTGGCTGATTTTATTTAATACTTTTGTGGATGTGTTCTGTAAATGACCACATTTTAATTCTTTCTGAATACTCGTACGTAATCTGGACTACATATCTGAAAACTAAGAATAATTATGGGACATCAACAAAATTTCTGTAGTCTTTTCTGTGTCACCAAATGTAAGAATTTAGGGTGGCAGGGTCCACCTTCATATGTTTGAAATGAAGCTTCAGTCTAGTGAAGGAACTGCAACTATAGGCAGAGCTGTAGTTGACCCAGGGATGTTCAGGACAGTGCCTGGTGCATTTTTGAATACTGGGATGTCACACTGGCACTTATTTTAATGACATTGAAATCAAATATAAATAATTGATAGTTTATTTAATCTCCAATACCTCTGTTTGAGGTGAAAGTGTTGGACTCTTAAAGATGTGATTTTTGTGAGTGGTTTGTCCAACTCTTCATTAGAAAACTGTGAAGGTATTATTAAGTAACAACAAGCATGGCTTTGTATCATGATTCACACCCATTTCTTTCAACCTGGAACTATGTACAAGACCATCCTGGCACATATTTTTAAGGCTACACCTCTGACAGGCCACAAGTTTTAATTTTTTCCCCCCACCTGAAAAGAGAAAATAAAATAAGCCATGGTGATCTGATGCTCCGAATCTGTTGAATTCTGGTTATCATTATGCTTGATTTTATTTACGTTACAATAGCATTCAGTCCAACATTGGTTATGAACATACCTATATGTTCAGTAACAGCAATGCCTAAGTAATGCAGCTACTTAAATTAAATCAAGTAACCATGGAAGATTGTTTGAAAAAGATAATTTGAATGAATATTTTTACATATGTTAGAATTCTTTACTTTGTCATTAAAGTGAATACAAAAGACCTTCTGTTCAATTTTATTCATAAAAACAATTATCTTGTTATCTAGGCAATGCACTGTGTGACAAGTCACTGATCATGTCACATTGCAGTCATATAGAATAATGATATGCAAGTCATTAACCCTGTTCTGAATTTTAGTAAGGGCCTAGTTAATGTTTATAGGTAGAGTGACTCAAATATATATGATCTGTGTTTTTAGACCTGACAGCTCGCAACAGGTCAAGTCCACTGACAGAAGGACTGCAAGATGTGTATGGGTTAATCAAATGAGTTACAAAACTTCTCTCACCCCCCTCCAACTCTCCATCATTGCAGCTGCAACCACTGCACCACCACTCCTGCCATTATGTCTTGTACACTAACCAGAGGCCAGGCCTAAGAAAATGGCCTGCATGTTGGAATGAAGGATTGTGAGAATTAAATAGAAGAAAATGAAATATATTTTCAGTTATGCAATTATAAATGTAATGGGATAATTACAGTAATGTGTTATTATTTGTATGTGATGGTAAAGAGAATAGAAGAGTAAATTTAAAAGGTGTGATACCTTTTAAGTTAAGAAAGTCAATTATATGTTTTATCTTGTTTATTATTTATCTAACAGTTCTATTTGTACCCTTGAATGGTAGGATGGTTAGTGAAAAGAGTGCAGAAGCAAGGAGCCATGTTCGTAATTAGGGGTACTGTGTTTGAAATTGCCCAGAGAGACTGAGGAAACCTAAAAAGTCTTTACTTAGAGTAGCAGAGATTTTAACCCTGGACCTTCCAGATACAAAGCAGGAATACTACATACTGGATTGCAGTGTTCAGTAATTATCTGAATGAAATTTCATGTTTTCATGGCAGTAAAAATTAAAACTGTGGTTTTCTGGGTTATGATACCAGATCATTCCATAGGTTCTTACAATTGGTTTATAGGGCCCTGCTGCTTCCATCTCTAGTGTACAAGGCAATTATCTACTTTTTTTTTATAAGATAAGATGTGATAAATATTCCCTTTCTCTTCTTGAACAAAGAAGTGTGTTGAGGAAAATGGATCTGGAATTGTAAACTGATGATATGAACTGTGAGAAGAGAAACTTTTGTGATCATTCATGTAGCCCTTTCAATGATAGTATGTTCTTGTATGTGAAGAGACGAGTTTGGATTTTCTCCCAAACTAAAATCTTTCAACAGTAAATTGGCATGCTCCCATGCTAGTGATGGAATATTTTGTCAGTACAGAAAGATTTAAACGAGATTCTAGTGGATGTTATTGAAGGTAATTTATATACTGAAGGTTAGGTTACCCTCCATAAAGGCTTGGCAGCCTTTACTGACAATGTTTGGTTCATTATTATAGTATATTTATCATACAAAATATGTCTGAAGTGTGAAATTCAACAAGTGCTTCAATTAAATGAATCCTGCACCTTGTGACAATGCACAGAACTAACAGGATTGGAATGTCCTTAAAACACTGAAAGTAAATCAGTATGGTATGACTGAACTGCTTTAATTTTTAAGTGAAATCTTTGTCGTCAAAAATTATTGTGGCCAGAAATCAAACTTGCTATCTCTAAATTATACAGGGTGATTCATTCGGAGGAGGTCCCGAATTAATAACTGTAAATCACGCAGTGGTTTACTGATGAAAACGAGACATACCTTGGTAGATGCGGAGACAATTATATTACGCAAAATGTTGAAATTGGTTTGCCTCCGCTTCCGGGAGCAGGCAGATATGGCCGGATATGGCTCTCCCTGTTCGTGGATGTTACTGCTAGCATGGCAACAGGGACTGCAGCAATTGTAGAACTGACGTGAAACGAGCAGACAAGTACTGGGTTCAATATGGTGTAGTGCACAGTATTGCCAAGTTTTGTCCAACAAATTATTGCGTTATTCATAATTTTCCCAGTGAATTATCCCGAGAATGACTGCTGTGCTATTGAGTCGCGATGTATTCCTGCCCTGATGAATAGTTCCTCACTTGTATGCTATCTCAAAGTATTAAATTATAAAAATATTGAACATAATTCTCATGACCATGGTGTAGTAGAATGTGCCCTGCTAGTGCTTGCATGTCATAAATGATTTCTACACCCTTGTTTATGTGGCCTAAGGCCAGAAAGACGAAACAGACAGTTCTCAGAGGCATTAGAAACCAAACACTATTTTACGGGTCTTTTTCATGAGGCTAGTGGCTCGCATGAAACCGACACATCCCAAATCTGCATTAGCAGAGAGTTCTTTCTTTCTTCAGATTTGTCTCTTCTCATCTACACAGTTAACTGATATAGAAAGAAAAACTCTTTGTCTTGGACAAGGAGGAACAGAAGTAGGGTGTGTTGTGTTCTGTCGTTACCAATAACATGTTTGACAGAATGCGGCAGTCTTTAGTTTTAATTTTGAAAGATGTCACATAAATGAGACAAATGTACTAGTTCGCACATGACTGAAAATCAGATTCAGAAATTATAAAACATTATTATTATTATTATTATTATTATTATTATTATTATTATTATTATTATTGTCAGTAGGAGGGATTGCTTTTGCACTGTGACAGACTTATTTGTCTCTAATTGTACATTAACACAAATGATTTATTGGTAAATACTAGAGCAGTGCAGCTTCTGCTGCTGTTTGTAATTTATTATAAATAA